CACACACACACACATTGCTCTGTAAAGCACACACAAAAGCAGGTAGCTTCTCAACACCAGCCATTCCCTTGGGCCCAGGGAGGCAACCCAGGAAAGACAGAGCCTAGCAACAACCCAGGTGACCCTGGGGCGGCCTCTCACATCCGCAGTGGAGATGACAATGTTCCTCTGTGTTTACAGAATGGCTTAAAGTATTCCTCGTGGGTCTTTTCCCAGAGCAGACCCCAGCCTGGCCTCATATGCTCACTCTGCCAGCTCAGCAGATGACCAAGAGGAGCCCTGTCATTACTTAGGGGCCCCCATCCCCGCCAGTTAAAGAAGATTAAAAGTCCAGCTCAACCTGAAAATGTGCAGCCTTCCAAAAGCAAGCCAGACATTCTCATTTAATTTTATTACAATCACCAACTCCTGAAATGATAACTTCTCTAACTGCCCAGCCTTGTTTCTCTTCCTATTTATAGTCCACAAAGACTGGTATGTTGTGGGGAATTGGAAAGTGTCCTAGCTATGAGCAAAGAGCGGGGGAGGGAAGGAGAAACAGAAAACAAAGAAACAGAGAACTGTCAAAGCTAAAAGCAATTTCAGATTCAAGCTATAAAATGCTCCTGATAAGTTTAGGAAATTTTAAATTTCATGGCTCTAGCTTGAGATGCAAACACATTTCCATATTAGTTAGAGCTCAAAGTTTGCAAGCAACAGAAACAAACTTGGCTTGATCAAAAAGGGGGTAGTCATTATATAAAATGATATCTCAAAAAAGTCAAGGGTAGCCCCGGCCAGGTGGCTCAGTTGATTGGAGCATCGTCCCTCTCACTAAAAGGTTGAGGTTCAATCCCTCGTGAGGACACATACCTACGTTGCAGGTTTGATCCCCAGTAGGCGTTACCGGAGGCAACCAGTCGATGTTTCTCTTGCATATCAATGTTCCTCTCTCTCTCTTTCTCCCCCTTCCTTCCTCTCTCTCTAAAATCAATAAAAATATATCCTCAGGTGAGGATAGAGATAGAACTGCTAACTTTGTTCCATCCTTACGCTTCTTATGTGTGTCTGCACACACACACAAATCTCAAATGCAAATAACATTTTACAGACAGTTTAGTAATCTGCTTTTGTCCTTACTTTTTTAAACATTGGTTTGTTTGTTAATCCTCACCTGAGGAATTTTCAGTGGAAGGGAGGAGGAGAGACACAGAGAGAGAAACATCCATGTCCTATTGATTGATCAGGCCCGTGCGGGGATCAAGCCTATACCTAGGCATGTGCCCTTGATCAGAATCGAACTGGGACCCTTCAGTCTGCATGCCAATGCTTTATCCACTGAGCCACACTGGGTAGGGCTTGTCCCTACTTTTTACATTGTCAACAATTGTTCTCTGGGTATGAAACACTGTGTTGCATCATCATTTTTAATGGTTCCTTGCATGTCATTTTCTAAAATGCCCTTAATGTACATGCATTATTTTCATAACTGGAAATGAAAAGGTTTAAGAGGAAGACAAATTTCCTTGTATGTTTGGGAAAAGCAGCAAAATAATACTTAACAGAGACCTACCTTTTGTATCAAAGAGCTTTACTTGGGTGTGACTTGCTTGGGAGAATTAAAAAAAGGTAAGCACCTACTAAGTGCCAGGTTTTGAGAAAGGAACTGAAGATGTGAGCAATTTTGTTTCCTGGCAACCCCTGTCCCATGTGATGATGGTAAGTCTGTTGACCATGGTGCCCTGTGGCATATGACCTGGCCTTAGCCAATAGCAGTCCCCTGAATGCAATGATTGGTCTAGGACAGTAATGGCGAACCTATGACACGCGTGTCAGAGGTGACACGCGAACTCATTTTTTTGGTTGATTTTTCTTTGTTAAATGGCATTTAAATATATAAAATACATATCAAAAATATAAGTCTTTGTTTTACTATGGTTGCAAATATCAAAAAATTTCTATATGTGACACAGCACCAGAATTAAGTTAGGGTTTTTCAAAATGCTGACACGCCGAGCTCAAAAGGTTTGCCATCACTGATCTAGGACGTGGGCGTGCATTCCTAGTAGGGCCAATCGGAGGCTTTCCTCTAGGACTGGTATGAAAAGAAGCCCTCTATTCACTTGGGTGGCTAAACTGGGGCACTGAGCCTTGGAGCTGCTGTCCGCCATCTTGCAGGTGCTGGGACAATGCCCTATGTAGAAGTAGAAGACGAGGTGGACACGGAAGAAAGCACAGTCAAGATGTCGAGATATGGCAAGAGAATGGCCCTGGATTACTTGTATCTAATGCATTTCTACTTCTTCATCTCCCAAGCATGCGAACCAATAGTTATTTGATTTTTCTCACTTACATTGTTTGCATTCTCTTCCTGTCACTTACAACTAAGAGTTCTGATACAGACAAAGGAAGAGAACTTGGTTCTCCCAACAGTCCTGAGGAAAAGCTACCAACACTCCCATATTAAGACAGAAAAACTGAGGCACAGAAGGAAAATAACATGCTGAAGTTCTGCAGCTTGTGTGAGACTGAGGTCTGACAGCAAACCTCCCTCCATAAGCACAGTGTGGTAACAGCAGGTGAGCCTATACCTCTGGAGGTATAACTGCTAGAGGTGGGACCATATGGGGCTCCGAACTGACAAAGGAATGGATGCAAAGGTCACTGAGCTCTGTAGGCAGGTTGAAAACCCACCACGGAACCCTTGGAGATGTCCAATTCTCTACTGTCTACCGTCTGTGGGAAATGGCCAAACCAGCATCTCCACAGCTAACCAAGCATCCTGGACTCCGGGAAGAGCAAATTTGGGGGGCCCTTTGGTAAAACTCAGGGCAGGGATTGTGTTAGCGCAGTTGGTGACTTGCACAGACCTCTCAACACCCTCTCGATTTCTGTTCCCCAGAGATCCCAACTTTGCCACAGAAGCTCTTTCCCCAGTGTTGCCTCCAAAGCTTCACCAAGCAAAAGCTTTTACCTTCTACACCCCAGGGGCACCCGGGTAGGAAAGAGTCAGTGCCCAGTACCACACATGCATGACATAAATGAACCAAAGGCAGGTGAGGGAGCAGCAGGGACAGGTGGGAAGGCGACCATGGCGAGTGACACATGTGACATACAGGCTACAGCTCAGGTCCAGCCATGGTTTGGGGCCTGATTTCAGGCAAATGCTGACCTTTTCGGCCCTCTAGCTCCCAGCTCTGCGATGAAGGCTGGACCGGATTATCCTACTTGTGGGGGTTATGCCCAACACAGGTTTTCTGTGATCTTCCATCTCCACATCTACCAGTTCAGAAAGGAAGCAATGGAAGAACCTGGAGTTGATTTGTGGGCAGTGAGAGGCAAGGCCAGTTTCATCACAGCTGGGCAGGGACTTGTGGATGCCAGTCAACTGCAAAGACCCCAGGAAGAGCCTCCAAGGCCCTATCTAGCCTGGACAGAAGACCAGTTCTCGGTCAAAGTCACCATTGGAAAGCAGGATGCTGGCGCTCCACTGTTTCTGGAATAACCAAGGGTAAACACCAGGAAGGACAGTCTTCTCTATTTCTGGCCCTGAGGGATCAGCTGAGTCACGCCTGAGAACAGACTGCAGCAGGTGGGCTAATGCCCCAACCTTCAGCCCGGATGTTGTCCCCAGGTTATTCTGATTCCAGGCCACTCTGACACACCTAGAGGCCTTTCAGTAAAACTCAAACATGTAAGACATGGAATTCCCTTTCTTCTGGGGTTGCATTCTTACCCCAGGAGGAACCCAATGGCCTTGAGCCTCCTCCCCACCTGCCAAACAGAAATGGCCGTATCACCCACAGGGGGTTAGCTTGTGAATCTGTGTGCACTCTATCAGGAAAACATCTGCACGTACAAAATTTTGCCTGCAGTTTCAGGGTTCAAAGGCCAAAAGGACCATTCCTTTTAGAGAGAGAGTGGAAGGGAGAGAGGAAGAGAGAGAGAAAGAAAGAGAGAGAGAGAGACAGAGAGAGAGAGAGACAGAGAGAGACAGAGAGAGAGAGGATGAAAGAGAAGAGAGATTGATTTGTTGTTCCACTTATTTCTGCACTCATTGGTTGCTTCCTATATGTGCCCTGACTGGGGATAGAACCCACAATCTTAGGGATGTGTTCTATCCAACTGAGGTACCCGGACAGAGCAGCCTTTTTTTTTTTTTTTTTTTTTTTTTTACAATTTTTAAATGCTTACTATAAAAATGAAAAGTTTTTAATATATATTTTAAAAAGTATAAACTTATATAACCACCAAAACTTTGTACCCAGAAATACCTACTATGAACATTTTGGTGAGCATCCTTTCAGATTTCTTGATACTTATACCACTTTACCCAAATGAGGTTAACCTACCCACACTTTCTTTTTTTTTCCCAATTGATTTTAAAGAGAGGAAGGGAGAGAAAGAGAGAGCATTGATAAGAGAGAGAAACATGGATAGGGTGCCTCCCACATATGCCCTGATAGGGGATTGAACCGCAACCTCAGTATGTGCCCTGATGGGGAATCGAACCTGTCACCTTTTTAAAAAATATATATTTTTTATTGATTTCAGAGAGAAAAAGAGATGGAGAACAAGATAGAAACATCAATGCTGAGAGAGAATCATTGATTGGCTGACTCCTGCACACCTCCTACTGGGGATTGAGCCCACAACCTGTACCTGTGCCCTGACATGGAATCAAACCGCAACCTCCTAGTTCATAGGTTGATGCTCAACCACTGAGCCACACTGGCTGGGCCAAACCCACCACCTTCTGGTGTACAGGACAATGTTCCACACGACTGAGCTGCCTGGCCAGGGCCACACTGACTTTCAATCTCCTTACTGAGCATCTCCCCATGGCAGAACTGAGATTCACTAACGCCTTAAACTGTTTTTACAAGCAGAACTGCAGATTAAATATCCAAACACTGCTCTAGAGGGGCCCAAGCCATTTGTACTCCAGGAGACTGTAAATCTGAGGGTGCCCTCAGGGACACTCCCCCTCCAGGGGCTCAGGACCACAGGACTCAGGTACCTCACGGAAGCTGAGCTTGCCGTCAAAGTCCTCGTCCACTTCCTTGATCATGCTTTTCAGGCCCAGGTGGGTCTGGGGGGCCCCCAGCTTCTCCATCATCAGCTTCAGCTCCATCAGGTCGATGAAGCCGTCCCGTCCGGCGTCATACCTGCAGAGTCACAGGAAGTACACTGATGAGGCATGCCACAGCCAGGGCGAAAGATCAGCTGTCACTCTCCCAATGTGTGACTCTTTTTTTGGCCTCACTTGTTGAAAAGCAACTCAAATACCCCCTGCTTTGCAGCACCTGGATCACCGCATCAGAAGGGACCACCTTCCTCAAAACACATTTGGGAACTGCCATGATTCACAGTGGATCTTGTACTACATGTTTGTTTTAATGACTCATCTCGGTAAGTGGGCCATCATTTCTTGAGGATGAAAATGTGCCTGGTTACCTTTATTCCCCCCATTTCTGTCAATAAACATCAACCGAATCTCCTGATACTGGACAACCGACGAGCTGCAGG